TCCGCAGTGCAAAAGAAGTCAACGTTGTTCGTGCACCAAGTATAGGCTCATAGTATGCGCTTAAAAAGATATATAAAATGAAACAAAGAAAATATCACAGCAGGAGCTATATTTAACTATGATTGACACAATGCATGCGTATCTTCTTGTTGTTGGTAAGCTATCTAAGCCAACATTAAATTGAAGGCCAACTCGACAGCACTGTTGGCGTTGTGAAAACGCTTTAAACGTTCCGGTGCGCTTGCATGAACGGAGGCAATTCTCGAGAAGACCTTCATCGCTGTGGAAAATGCGTGACGCGCCTGAACGCACTTGCTTGCATGCTACATATTATTGAAGGTTTACTATATAATCCGCCTGACGAGACATCATCCTGTGGCGCAGTAGATAAAGCGTCGAGTTTTGGTACGCGAAGGGGAGAGATCAAATTCTGCCATGAGAACAGACTTAAAATTCGTTATCTAATATCAGAAACGGAAGGGTATATGCGAGATAAGCTAACGTCGCTCACGGTGGCACCCGGTCCTATAGGTGTTAGGTATTTGGTCCATCGATTGACGGGACCGTGCAATGGGTATGGGCGAATACAGTGCGGGTAGATTGGGGGGTGGTTTCGGGTGAACTCTCTTCTTTCCCTCAAAGCCTCTGTTACACCATACTCCCTTCAGATAAAGCAAATGAGTCCTGCGGAAACCCACAAGGTGGCGGAAGGGTTAAAAAAAATTCGACAGATCCCACGTACCTGAGAATCGACGTTATACGAAGCATGCGGAGAGAAGGTGACCGTGTAGCAATTTTTTATTAAGCGACACGTCATGAAATGACGCTAAATATATGTACGAATGTCGCACGCACAGACACATGTTGAAGAGTTGCAGATGTTTATATAACCAGTTGTTTGCACTTGCACAACGGTGCGCGCCAACTGAAGCATGCCTATTAGCAACACCAGAAGTTGAAATGAAGCGCTGATGCTCGCAAAGATCCTGGCCCTGGATACTGCATAAATCAACTTCAGCGCATCGACGTTAACCCGACATGACGGCTGTATCAAAGGAGTACCTATGCAATACTTATAAAATTGCATAGGCAGCAGTGCAACCACTATTCACGTTTCACGAAGATAAGCGTCTATTCGAAAAGTAGTTCCGAGACCTTGCGTAGCTCTGTGGTATGATATTTCATCGCCACGCAAAATGATTAAGTTTGATTCCAGCTGGGACCCTTACACTTATTTGCATTTTTCGGGCTGACAGTACCGATGTCGGGTATTTCTTAACGCTCGCGCGTTAAAATGGCCCATGTGTGTTCTCGTCATTCCTGGATAGATAATCAGTGTCCATCACCTGTGGCGCATACCCACATACCAGTGGCATATACCCGCCCGTGGGTACGTGGCACTGCCTGGTGAGAAGTGTTTGACGACGTACGCGACCGGATTGTGACATTATTGATGTCTTGACCAGCGCGTCATATTTGTCAAACCATCTTACCCTCCCATGCCAATTTCGTTCACGCCAGGTTAAGGGGGTGACCACGAGAGCACCCATACCTAAGCAGATATATATATATATATATAGATAGATAGATAGATACGCTCAAAGTCGCCGAAGATTGCTAAGAAATGCTTCGAATTTAAAAGGGAAAGGAGCAAATTATCTGTTTGTACCACGAAGCCACAAGGAATTCCGTATGGATTTCCCGCCTGTGGTCCACCTCTAGCACCAATAACGCCAAATCAGTGGGACAAGTTCAGAGTAATTATGCTGTGATGAGGCTGTTGTGATAGTCACTACTAAAACAAAAGCTGGAACACCCTCGTCCCCCGTTTTACTTTGAGCGACCCCCTCCTTTCGTCTAAAATGAGTGGCTAGATCCGCCCCTGACGGTGGGCAGTAACCTATAAAAGTTGTACCTGCTTTTAACAAGATCTCGTGTTACATGTACACGACATCGATGTTTGTGAGGCACACCACACAGGGATTTATGGCAGCTATAGCGATGCAACGTTTGCAAGACCGTATACCCGCTATTGTAGACTTGAAGACAGTGCCTTTCTTGCTCGCTCACAAAAAACTACTGCACGAAAGACGAGTGCAGGTATATTTTTCATACATCTAACTGTACAGAAGGACGTCGAGAACATAGAAATGAAGCCCTTCTTTCGTAGTATTACATTATCCTTTGCTGGATGAGATGCTGTTTGTGGTTCACTATTGGAGAAGTCACGGCGCGAAAAATCCCGGTACTAGTACATGTTTTTTTTTTAATATAAGCAATGGATCTTTTCACTGACACTGTATTTTCAGCGCAGTAGAGGGTTCAATACGAAGCGCGACCTATTCATCAATCGAAATATATTATAAGGGCCATATGTAAGAAGTCTTGTCTCTGTTTTTCGCCATCTTGTACTATAAGATATAAAAAATTACCTTGCAGGGAGGTGCGTTTTATAGCACAGAGGCCTAAAATAATAATGACTTCAGAATTATGCGTGTAAATAACCTAAAAATGTCTAAAGCAGTTGAGGTGACTAATAGCAGTGTTCTACGTCTGTACAAATATATAATGCATAGGCGTCGTGGCGGTAAAATATGCTTTTTTTTTCTTGCATGCGACATTGAGCTAACGTTAAAGAAAAGAGGAATAAGTTACCACCACAGTCATCTCTCTAGTCACCGTGCAGCCAAGCCAATTTTTTTCCCCAGTGATTTCACTGCGTGCGACAGCAATTAATAATGAGAAAATTTACTTCTGTTGCGGGCTGTCGCGCATGCGGGAGAAAATAATGTGCTTACGTGGGCGCGTCTTTTCGAGGTAATTGAGACAAAGCGATCCAATGTCTATTTTTTTCTCGCTTCATCTGGGAGACCTAACGGCGTTCAAAAAAAAAAGAAAGCTATGGTCTAGACGAGCAACACTTCAACGCCCACCGTGCGTATACGAAAAGCTTTCACTCGAGAAGTGCCCGCAGAAGCTTTCAGGCGAAAGCTATCATTTTCTTCTGAGCCAATGCGTTGATCCTTCGGCGTGCCTCTCTCCGAAAGCTTTCCACACCTTGATGACGTCATCATGTGACGTCGTAGTGAATCTACAAAAAGTTTATGTATGTGTCGTCATGTTGACGTCATTGATGACGTCAACTCGTTATATGATTTTTTTTCTACATCACGCTTTTTGATGGCGACGGTGCCGAGGCTGTCGGTCAATCTTATCGTTTTATTTCTCGTCTAAGGCTTCCCTCTAAACATAAAGGGGGACAAGAAAGAGCGCTGTGAAGAAATAAACGACCACCATCACATCCCTGTGGCAACTTGCCATGTATTTCATAGCTCTATAGAGCTATGAAATACATGGCAAATACATGGCAAATACATCATCACGTATATATACGTGATGTCAACGTCGTGAACTAACATTTGTGTTCGTGAAACACTCGTGCGATGCGATGTCAGTTTGTTGTGTTCCACTTCCAACAGGAACAAAGAATGACTATCGCCTGGCCCAGAAGTTTCGTAGGCCTCCGAAGAGCCAGAAACGAAATAGCGTTAACGAGGCGGCCTTGAACCTCTCTCGCGCGCAAACTAATCGTGACGTGCAACGATTCGAAGAGACCCTCCTGGAAAATTCTGATTTATGCGAAAACTTAGTTAAATTAAGAAATGACCATAAGCTGAGCTCATTACGCTTTGAGAATTCCTGGCGTAAAAACAGCTCGAAGCACATGAAAGAGCATCTGACTTATTCCAAACTGCACCATTACAGGCGTCATTAATATCTGGTGTTTGATTCAATAAATTATTATTACGGGATCATGAGATTAAGATTGTGAGATAATATAATGAGCGTGCCGTTGCGTGGCACCTGCTTTTGACCTTCCCGGGCACATTAACGAGACCCTAAATCTCAGTTCATGACTTCCATGCTTATTAAAATGTGGTCGCCATGCCCACGTCCTCAAGCTCAGCTAGCTCACTCGAGCGACAAAAAACGCACCGTTCTTGCCGCTTTCCAAGCTCACGTGGCTGCTCTTGTGCTTGTTTTATATAGCTACAGAAGTACCTTTCCTGACGTCAAAATAAAGTACTAACGGTATCTGGTGCTAGCACGTATTAGCGGCTGACTTCATGGAATATTGGGCACGATGCTTAAGTTCAGCCTTCATTTTCATTGCCTTAGTAACGAATAGGTTTACAAGCAGCCAGCTCAGCGTTACTGTGCCACCTTCTTTTCGTGTCCGGATGATTTTCCCTGTGACCTCACTTTCCATGGGCTTGTTGTACGGACCCTAAAAAGTCAACACAAAGTTGTAACTGCGAACTAGATACAGAAAGTGTCGAAAGTTTAGAGACCACAAGTCTGAGAAAACTTCGAATTTCGCAGCAATCTGTGACTGCATTACGTTTAACTGCGCAGTATGGTTTGAACATCCTAGAATTGGCTGGACATTTCATTTTAAGGCTGCCTGTCGAAGCAGCAGGAACATTTCGCTTTCTCTCGCGTGTCACGGACCTCGAATATTTCGCGCTGACTGTTGACTTGGGTAGTGCACACTTATCCGCATACGAGTAGCTTCATTAGATATGCGCTGACGTGCGCCTGCGCGCACTAGGTATATTATAGCTTTCGTTTTAAATCAAAGAAAATCAACTTGAATCTATGCAGCAGACAGCGAAAAAATTTCTTGATTTCAGTGTACTTACACAAGAGATTACAGTATAAAACTTCATCGTACTTTCTCAGGGTTCTCTTGGCATGCCTTCATCTTGTACAAATATGTGTTCAGTTCGTGCCACCTAGAAGAACTTACTTACACATGCCTAAATCTTAGATATTCGCTGCTGCATTCCGTTTCATTAATGACCCTCTCAAGCTGCCTGATCGTGTTAGCATTTGAACGTAAATTGAATTCGTGCTTCACTTTTCGATTTTTTTTGTCAAACTGCAGTCGTTGAAATTTGCGTATGACATATACCCCACTGTCTTTTCCTCTCTTTCAGTGGTGGTGACCGTTCTACTGGCGATGTTTTCGATCCTGCCCCTGCTGATGATGATCATAGGTGAGAAGCAGAAAGGTGGTGGAAAGTGACGTACAGCTTACAATTGCTTACTCAGTTTGTGTGGTATTCGTACGGAAATAAATGGCTACGCGGTGCCTTCAGTTTTTGAGCCTTGCAAAATTTATGCTACTTGTAGATTTTACCGAATATTACTTTGGTCAACTGGTTCAGTCATAAAGTACATAATTATCTATAAAATCAGCAGCTTTGAAGGTCCTGTTTAATAACGCTTTCTTATTGCAATACACATCATTAAGACTTGTCACAAGACATTGACTGATTAATTGATTGTAGACTGATTGATTGATTGATTGAATGAGCGAGTAATTCATTGATTGATTGATTGATATTTGATGATATTTTAACACAACGCATGATTACGTGGACACAAGAGAAGAAAGGGGGACTAACCGCAGCACTGATTAATATGCTGCCAGCAAGAATGTATTGTTTGCTTCTTCCCAACGTTTTATTAGTTGACAAACGAAAAATGGTGTCAGGTGGCGTAAAATATAGAACAGCCACTCAGCAGTTAATATTCAAACTTGACATTCAAACATGCAACAGTCAATTATCCAAGTAACCAACCTCTATACATTAGGTTTGTCATAGTCTCTCATATAAACTACAATAAGTTCACCTTTAGTACTTACGACCCATTAATCGAAATTTGCTTTAAAGCTTAAGCAAAGCACCAAACGTCTGCCCTGCACACTTTTACAGTAAATGTAAAAAAAAAAAGAACACAACCTTTCACCTAGCTTTTGGGAGTTCTGCTGCCTTCGCGTAGGGAACTGTTGCAACTTCGAATACAGAGTTGTCTTTGTTGTTGTTCTTGGTTTTTTTTTTTGGCAGAAATCGGGTGTGCATGATGATCAGCGGAAAAAAGCCGAAGGTTGTTTAATGTGATCAGCGCTTCGGCAAGCTTGAAAAATGCCGACTACAGTATGTCGTAGATTGGACCTACGTAGGTGTGAAATAAACGGGAAACAGACCCAAAATAGCACGCCTTTTCCTTTTCTATTGCATCTTCTTCTTACGCAGGGGTGCAGTACTTGCAGGAGTGCCCCAAGGAGCCCAACATTCCGTTGTACCTGTTGATCGGTGGTGCGTTCGGCCTCATTAAGGTGGGCACGCTGCTCTACCACCAAATGAGGCGGCGACGCTACGAGCGACTCGACGACGCCTTGGCCGACGGCGACATCGACGAGCTCTGGTCCTCCACGTCGACCAAGGTCACCGAGTACGCGCTCACCATTTTCCTGCTCGTCTGGTTCGGCATGGGAAACTACTGGGTGCTCCACATCTACCGGCCCCGTTACGAGCCACTGCTGCGAGAACCCAACAACTACTGCGACAAGACCGTGTACACGTTCTCGCTCGTACACCTGCTCGTGTGCTACGGCGTCATCGGCCTCTGGGTCATCGAGGTGATCTGCCTCGCACTATGCGTCAGGGTGTTTGGACTGTGGTGCAAGAAGTGAGCCCCGTCACTCCCACTTCAGACGGACATACGTACTCGCGTTTCGTGCCTATTTTCTCGATGAACTGACATGGGAAAGCCTGTGTCGCAACGGGCGTCAGCTCCGAGCTAGTATGACGTTGCTCGAGGATATCTTTTGACTCAGTGCCGCAAGACGAGTACTGTGCTGCAGAAGTGCTTTATTTTCTTTTTGTTTGTTTGTTTCGAACGTTTCTGTTCATCAGCTCCTGATCAAGCTCGTCTGCGAGAGGTCATCAAGGCAACCTGACCTTAAGCTGAATCTGATGATGACGACTGCCCTGGTTATGACAGAACCAGTCGGACTCTGTTGGGAACAGTTCTGGATCGGTAGGAGGTGTACGCGTTTGAGCAGGAAAGCCAACTGTTAACGTGACCAAATGTGAAGTGCTCCTGTTTGTTTTCTTTCTTTTTTTTTGCATCGATCATGTTTCGCGTGTCTCGAAGTTTTGAGCCTCTCTCTTGTCAGCAGTCACCAAAATGCGTGATAGACGCCTCGCTTGGCAGCGTATGCAAGCGACTCACTCATCTTGCATAAGAGTGGCTGACACTTTTCTCGATTACCGAAGTGATCTAACTGCCTTTCTTTTACAGATGTTCCCTTTTGCTCCCCATTGTAGATGTAGTATGCTCAGGCTTAAACAGATCGCTATTAAGGCAGTAGAACTAGCTTAACCATTTTGACGACTCCTTTTGAATCTTGGTCTCTGCTTCCGCTCGCCGTGGTCGGAATCAACTTGATCGATTCTTAAGCGACGAAACTACCTTGCTCCTGCAACGTGCCTCTTTATTACTCAGTGATAAAATACTGGTGCCTCGGCACTGCTTCTGAAGCTGCGGCTGACATGGTTCTAAACTACCAGCTTAATACGGTAAAATTGGCGGTAGGACGCAGTGCAACTCGCGTACCTCTTGTGATACAGGTAATCTAATCTAGTCTGTAGTGAGGAACAAGCTACACTGACCGTGGCTGAGGAGGACGAGTACGAAAGAGCACACTGTGGATACACCTGCAATGAGGTGATGGGACCTGGCTGGCTCTGTAATATTCCCCCCTAAGTCTGCTCGCTGTAAACGATCGAGCAACAACGTTAGCAGTGCAAATTTCATCCTTAAGACCATATGCGTTCTTCTTGAGAGCACAAGGTTTGTAAGAGATGCGCCTATAGACAGCGCTGTTCCATGTCTGACCCAAAGATATCGCACGCAACACTGAGGTCATGGTCTATGGTCATCGTGCCCGTCACCTACCCGCCTCTTGGCCTCGCAGGTCAAAAGATTTTGCAGTCGCTGGCATGTTTTGTAATCGCATGGCAGGGCAAACTGCGAAAAGAGCAAGATAATGAAAGTGTGAAAAAAAAAGCCAATCTTTTTAGAGATCACCAACCTCTGTCGCAAATGACCACAAATGTATGTAAGCAAAAAGCAGATAGCATGCTACAGGGTGTTTTTGGCCATTCATTATGGTGCGTAATTTATGTAAGATGTTTACAGTATTGATGTCATGTACACACTCTTCAAAGAGGGCTTCCTTTGGGAGCTCCTTTGGGAGCTTCCTTTGGGAGCAGAGTATCCAAAGCGAAGTTTCAAAGCCTAGCGAGCACTTCATTTCGTTTGAATGTTTCTTATTCGATTCAGCACCTCGTCGCATTAAGAGTGTTACGAGTTATCGAAAAAAAAGTATTGTGCCGAACAAGTATGTAAGCAGTGCTAATATCAAAGAGTATCCGCGAGTTTGGACGCAACATGTCGGTTGCATAAAGAGGACAGGTGTTAGGTCTAGGGTCTTTTACGTGTTTGATGAGTTCCTTATAAAGCTGCTGTTCATCTATACAATGACCCATATTAAGCTCCTTTGTTACTGAACAGACCCGTGTGCGGTTGGGACAGTTTAACGTTGTCCTGTGTCCTGCTTTCCCATCAACGCGGAACGTTCCCGGTGCACATAAATATTGCTCACTGCTCCCTGTCTGCCTGCCTTAATATACGAGCAACCCGAGGTTTGCACTCTCGGCTTTCCTCTGCTGTCAGCCAGTGGTATACATTAATATACACACATGTTCAAACACAATACACACAAATGTATCTAACAATGTAGCACTGTCTGCGCATTTCCTATACTGTTTATTACTCAGGCTCGTGTCGGCGAGTCCTGGCAACATTGTGCATGTTATCTGTGTCCCGTGTATTCTCTTACATTCAATGTTTGTTTACATCTAATCGCAAGCGTTGCTGTACAGGCAGGACAAGGCGCTGTGCAGTTATCGCGCAGATGATGTTCACGTTGCAAACCTTGATATCGAGTTAATAAAGGACGAATTTACCTGAAGATGGTGTCGGTGTCTTCTCGATTAGGTGCTGACCCCACTAGATTCCTGAAGTGTCAACAGAAGGTGTGGCTATATATAATAGCTCAATACCGATATAATGAATATAGTTACCGCTGCTTGACGAGGTCAGTATATTTTTGTTACCTGGCATGACACGTTGGCAAAGCGTGAGTCGGCAACGTCAGTGAAGCGTACGATTCTTGCGCTGTTCGCTGCACGAAGTAATCACCATGAAAGACCGTGGACAACAGGGACGAATTAGGCTCACAAATGACGCAGTTATGGATATATTATAAGCAGGTTTGCTGCGATTAGTATTCGTAGTATCCACACATCAGCCAGAAACAGTGCATTCCTACGCACGAGCATATGAAAACAAAGCAAACGATGTTAATAGGCGGTGGCGCATTGTACAGTTGTGACGCATTTTAAACAAAGTATCTTCTAGTTATGTATACTGAGAGCTATTTATACCATTACAAAAGTATATTGTGCTGAAGATGTATGCCAGAAGAACTTAAAATCAAGCTGACAGTGGCTACTTATAATGTTAACTATCTGGATTTATGATTCTTGAGCTGTGCATCTTTTGTTATCGTTAATACCACTCAAGCCCTGCTAAAAAAAAAAAAGACACCGATTACCTTTATCATAGGAATCGGTATGACACGAAAGTAAAACGTATTCTTACAGAAGTAGTTTAATGTTTACTTCATACTCATATAGGAGAGCTTATACAATGTCTGTTGTATAAGCTCTCTATAAGCACACACGCGCGCGCGTACGCTGCGTGCGCCGATATCACCATCGCTCTCAACTTCGAAGTCCCCCTCGCCAATTTTTCTTCACTGTGCCCTAAAAAAAACCAGGAAACAAGCATGCAAGAAAATAAGTAAGTAAATCGATAACTGTCCGCTGTAGTTCTGGCTGACGCAAATCAAGGTGGAAGTGCTTTAAAGCAGCATACGCTAAATTCAAAAGAGAATTATTGCTGCCTTTCTGTGTCTTCAATCAAAATTATGTGTCACCTCTGGGCCATGCGCTACGCGGCTTCACAGGTCGCCCACCTTCAGAGTGGGATGGCTCATAAATTTAACGTCAGTTACCGCAGGGCTTATGTGGAACTCGAGAAAGATGAATAGCCTGGAATCAGTGGCACACACACACGCTGGGGGAATTGGCCAAAACTGGGTAGTTATAACGAAATACTGTTCATTTGTTCGGCTCACGTTTTGAGGTCGCTGGGTGTCACCAAGTGAAAGGCTATTATTATCGTGAGCCCGCACCTGCTCGCTGCGTCCTCTTTTTCCTCTTCTGCTTCCGTCTCGGATGACGTGCGCCGATTTGTCCGGCGTTGGATTCAATAACTGTGCCAGGGGAGAGAAGGAGGAGATAAAAGAGAAAGAGATGTATAGAAACGAATAGAAAAATGGAGAGTGAGGAAAGAGGGAAAAGTAGAAATACACAAAGAGAAATAGACGAGAATCGAGACGGACACAAAGAAACAGAAAAAAAAAAGAGCAAGAACAGCCTTGTGTAGTACATCACAGGAAGGGATGGAAAGAGAGAGGTGTGGGAAGGTGAAAGCCTGGTCAAGCCAGGACCAGCCAGGTGTTCACCGGATGTGCTGTGAGCCAGCCTTGCGCGACTTAGCACAAGCCGCGCCATTTTTTACGCGATAGCGTTGAAGAGCTTATGCACTTCGAAGAAATTTAGTTATCGGCGTCGGATTCACTGTTGACGTTGGTAATAATGATAACTGTTATGATTTAACGTCCCAAATCGACTATATATCAAAGAGGAACGCCGTGGTAGAGGGCTCCGGAGATTTCGAGCCTCCGGATTGAACCCTGCGAGTTGTCAGGACCAGAATAAAGTTGATTCCCCTACAGAAACCGGGGGTTATTTAACGCGCGCATACATCTAATTAGGCAGGCCTCAAACATTCTCGCCTCCATCGAAAATGTGGCTGCCGAGGCCTGGAATTAATATAGTGACCTTTGGGTCAGCAGTTCATCGCCATAGGCCACCATGGCGAGTTCTCGGCATCAATGTCGGCGTCGTTGGTTGTCGGCAAAAATCAAAATTCTTTGGAACCGAAAAACCAAGAAATATGCAGCTAAAACAAACAATGAAAACCTTCAGTTCTGGTGATAGTGCGTGGCCAGCGGGTTTTCTACCCCCCACGCTGCAAGTTACCGCTTACATTGATAAGCTGATGTAGGTTTCTTCTTTTTTTTTTCACCGAGTCGCGTATAGAATTTTTATCACGTTTTTGCTTATGTGCATTTTTCGTCCTAATATCGTTACATTAGTGATCATCACATGCAGAAATATCACGTTTGTCGTTCTCTAATGGCGTGTTTGTCGATTGTTATAGTGGTTGGCTTTAGAAGTCAAACACCCGTTGGAATAATGAACAAAAGACGTTAATCATGCACTGGCAAACGTGAATTCATACGAATGGAGGTTATACCCTGGAAACAATTTTAAAAGCTTGAATCAGATGGATTATGTGAAACGCTTGAGGAAATTGGGGGACTCTTAAGCTTTGCCTTTAGGAGTTTAGAATAGCGATATTGTGTTCCTCGTGCGTGCTTCAATCACTTAGTGTACGAAATCTTTTCGGACTTGCTACGCACCCAATACGTGGCGTTAAGGGTGCAGTAGCTTGCGTGTTTTTTGTAGTGGGTGATTGGCTGTAAGCTATGAAGTGATTATGTTTTTCCCATGTTCTGTCATGCGAGGGCAATTTACGCGTGTAAGTCACATTATTACGGCAATATCTCGTGTTGTATGGTGAAGCATGTACGTGGGACACGTGTTTGTAAAACACGAAAGTTACTTTCACCGCATTTCCAAGCAGAGGAAGTTTTTTTCCGCTGTATTCACGAGTTCCCTTTGATACGTTCTTTCTTATGGGACTGCACAGTCTGTGGAAAACGCGCATGCAAGACCGTCGCGCAGAACCAACGACTGCTTCATGTAGGCATTTCATGCGTATAGCTCTTCATCTAAAGGCCATT